ATTCGGGGGGAAGGGAATGAAAAGAAGGGGAGAAGGAAAACAGTAAGAGAGAGAGGAAGAAAGAAACGGAAAGGACCTGATAGAAAAGCTAAATGTTTAAACCCACAGGTCCTGCCATCGCTAGGCCCCTCCGGTGGACCCCGCCGTGCAGAGGACGGAGCGGAATCTCTCGGCGCGCACGTCGAAGGGCCCTTCCTCAGCCCTGGCAAAAACGGCATCCACAGCCCCAGCGTCCTCCTCGCCGCCAATACCGGCTTCCAGGACCTAATAGACTGCTACGGCGCCGAAAACCTCCTCGCCTCGCAAGACGTCCCCTCCTCCGCCCCGATCACCCCCACCACCACATCCACATCCACGTCCGCCTCCTCCGCCTCCACCACCCGCAGCAACCCCACCGCAAACATAAAAATGATCACCGCCGCCCCCGAAGTCGGCATCATGAACACCCTCATCCCCACCCTCGTCTCCCACAACATCATCTACTCCATCGGGCACTCTGACGCCACCTACGAGCAGGCCCTCGACGCCCTCGCCGCCGGCGCCAGCATGATCACGCACCTCTTCAACGCCATGCGGCCCTTCTACCACCGGCACCCGGGCATCTTCGGCCTGCTGGCGCAGCAGTCGCAGCAGGCCACGCGGCCCTTCTACGGCCTGATCGCCGACGGCATCCACCTGCACCCGACCAGCGTGCAGATCGCGTACCACGCGCACCCGGCCGGCATGGTGCTGGTGACCGACGCGATGAAGCTGTGCGGCATGCCCGACGGCGTGTACGAGTGGACGAACGGCGAGCGCATCATCAAGCGCGGCGCGCTGCTGACGCTGGAGGGCTCGGCGGAGGGCAAGATCGCCGGCTCCTCCGCCACGCTGATCGAGTGTGTGAATAATTTCCGGCGGTGGGCGGGGACCGGGGTGGTGGAGGCCGTCAGGGCGGTGACGGAGACGCCGGCGCGGATGCTGGGGTTGGAGGGCGTGAAGGGCGTGTTGGTGCCGGGGGCGGATGCGGATCTGGTGGTCCTGGGCGAGGATGCGGAGGGGACGTTGACGGTGGATCAGGTCTGGAAGTTTGGCGTGCGGGTTTTTGATTGCGTGAAGGATGCGCAGTGGGCGGCGTGAAGGGTGGTTTGTTTTGTTGATTTGCACCCTCCCTCCCCCGTCTTTCCCTTCCCCCCCCCATGTTTTATTTTATTTCAGTTTACCGCCCCGTTGGAACATTATGGAGACTCTACCCGCGGGCGCGGAAAGAGACGTTCTGTTCTTCTGTATCGGACGTTTTCGGAAACCCCCTTCTGTTTTCTCTTTTCAAAGTTTTTCAATTTTTTTTTTTTGTCACATATAACTACATTGCCACGATTAGTCGACCTCACAGATTGAATAACGTACGATACGTAGCTAGCTATATCTAGTTTGATAGAGTTTTTTTTTTTAGAGATAGAGCGCCAGCATTTTGAATTTCATATATCATGTATCTATCTATCTATATACAAGTACAAGTAACCTTGGTTTACCTTTTTACCTTTTTAACTTTTTTACTTTTTTACTCCTGCATAATTCGGATTGAATAACATTGCTCTCTTGCCTACGAGTATTTAGCTCATCTGAACACTATCTGTGCGTCTTTCGTAGGAGCATTTTGTTATATCTGCATATAATAGTAATAGAAGCTAGTTCGTTGCCCCTCCCCCTCCCCCTCCCCCTCCCCCTCCCCCTTTCCTTTTTGCGTAGATAGGCAAAGTCGGCCATACATACCAAACATAGCTAACTAACATATATGTAAACCAAAAACAAAATAAAAATAACCCGTTTAAATCCCACGAGCCCATCGCCCCTTGCTCCGCCGATGATCCGTGGTAGGGGGCGCGGATTAAATATTCATATATATAATGTATCCTGTATTCCCTCCTCCCCCCTCTCCCCCCTTTCACTGAATACCTTGGGAAAAGGAAGAGGTTATGACGCATGTAATTTCGATCGTGTAAGCTCCAGATATCCTTAGGCAGTGTTCCCTCCACAGATGTGTATACAAACACATTGTCTCCAAGGGAATGGACGGACACACACACACATATATAGATATATATATATATATATATATATATATAGAGAGAGAGAGAGAGAGAGAGAGAGAGAGAGAGAGAGAAGGGGAGAGGGGGACCGCAATCCAGTCCGCCCACCTCGAATTGCCCAAACACACGCGTAGGTGCAGTTTCCAGTGGGAATACGGGGGAGCCAAGTCCCGTCAATCATTTCGAAATGTAAGAAGAAGAAGAAGAAGAAGAAGAAGAAGAAGAAACATAACAAAAAAGGCAACGCATCCATCCCCAACTTCAGGCGCGCCAACTGGGGGGTTTCCCCAGCGAGAATCCTGCAGGGAATAGGGATAACTTCCAAGAATGGAATGGGGCTCTGGCATGCGGCAGGAAGATAGACAGACGGACAGACAGACAGACAGACAGACAGGACAGACAGCGGCATGGCAGTATCGGCTCCTGGTGGGAGATATAATCAGTAGTGTGCTTTCTATCCCCCCCCCTCTCTCACAGGCCTATGTCCTTATGCGGGTAGATATTTATCTTCATCTAGGCTTGTGGAGTTCGATGGGGATTGGGTAGGGGGTGTATCATTGCCCTGTGCGCGCGCTCGGAGCATGCATGGTATGCAACAGGCCAGTTCCCATGTGTATGATACTTGTGGTAGGCAATGGACAACCTGTATCGAGTAAAAAACAGAAGAAAAAAAAAAAAAAAAAGCAAGAAAGAAAGAAAACCTGCATGCAGAATTAAAAACAATCAATAATAAACTAATATAATATAGCAAAGCTAAAGCTAAGTAAATTGTTTCAAAACCCAAATATTCCAGTTCCCACGCCATAGCCCTTTCTACTCGATGCAAATCGAATATTAAGGGGTACAGGGAGTGCGTGTGGGAGGTAAATTGACATTGCCCATCCAAACACACAAACCTGAAATAAAAAGGATTTAAATTAAGAATGTTAAGATGAATAAAGAAAAG